AAATTGGAGCTGGGAGTTAGGGGATTCTACTTGAATTGGGACCAAAACGGAGGTCGAAGGTGGCCGAAAAATGGCCTGGAAGTCTCAGCTAGTTTGGGTTTCTTTGAATCTGTGATAGATTCGAGAGTGCAAAGCTTGACTCTGGGTCCAGAGATGGTGAGGAGTTTGTTGGTGGATCTAACTTCATCCAATACAACAAGGTTTGACCGAGGAAAACACATCGCGAAAAGAGGTTTGGCAATGAGGGTTATGTTCAAATAGCATGCAGCTAGGAGAAAGGGAGGAAGGATAGAGAGATATAGAGATAGAGAGTGGAATCGATAGGGAGTTGACATGAAAATTTCCTAGAGTCCAGTTCGGCGAGGTTTGATCTGGGGAGGAAAAGGAAGAGAGTAAGACGAAGAAGGAAGAAAAAGAGGGACAAAGTGGAGAGAGATTTTTCAGTGTGACCATCACAGGAGGTGGTACACCATGTGTCCCTATATAAATGGTGGGTTATGTGTTTTAAAAAGGTTAGTAACTTAAAAATTAAAATTTTCCACCACTTACATAAAAACATGTGGTGTACCATCCGTGTTCCTGTCACAACTAAAAATTTCTCCAAAGTGGGACAGGGAAGGGAGAAAAAGAGGGAGAAAAAAGGGGATTAATAATAAAATATTAATAATTGTGAATTAAATAATGCAATATTAGAGTTTGTAAATTACACTACCTCTTAGTCCAACACTATACTAAACACTTCTAGTTTAGTTTATTCTAAGTCAAACCAGCTTAGTTCCTGAAGTTAATTCAGTCCAAGATAGTCTGGTGCAACAAACATACCATAAGTGTTTTGGGATCCAATTTTGTACTCGTTTTCTGTACTTTTCTTTTCCTACAAGTAATATGGTTGTTTCAACATTTTACAACTTGCTATGAAGCTAAGGTTTTACAAATGATTTGAGTTTTAAATTTTAATGCCGGTGAAGTAACTTCGTGTTAGGATGCCATATAGCATCATCTTGTGGTGACAGTGATACAACCCCACACTCTGCTTCTGCTCAATGTATATAGAAATGTATGTTTCTTATTACGATATCAACAATTACAACAACCACCTCCTTACAATATTTCCTTTCTTAGAGTGACTAGGTAGCTTCCTTCCTAAGTCGCTCACTAACCACCTTAACAGCAACAATTCCTAACTAATTCCTGTTTGTCTTAGTCAGCAATTGCCAACTCATCTCTACATTCCTGCCCAATTGTCACAATACATAGCAACCTGCCGGACAGTTAGAGTTGGGTATTAGCATAAATACTAGGTTGTTCTGTTATCCTTCTCCGTTGTATAACGCGGCAAACGTCGCGCAAGACCATGGAATCGAGAGTTTCCAATCTAGAAACCAAGTTCGATGAATTCAAGACTTCTCAGGCCAAATTTCAGAACGAATTCAAAGCATGCCAAGCTGTGATCTTACTGCGAAATATGGTGGTGAATCTTCTGCAGCTACACCGGTGCATCAGCCGTTCATTAAAATGACATCTCCTATCTCCTGTGAAATCGAATCAAGTCGTTCTCAAGCTTGAATCCTTCCACGAGGGAAAGATTCGGGCCTAAGAGAAAGCAGACGAGTTTTTCTCTCAGTTTCGTCAGAGATACAAGCCTAAGAGTCGTCCTTGTTTGCGACCAACACCGCAACGACAAGAAAGCGAAGCCTCTGTACCAATTCTTGGCTTCCAATCATTGCTACCAGCAACAAGGCTACTTCTTGATTCTACTTGCATTCTGGGTTCTGCATTCCTTGTATCTAATGTGCAAAAGTCGAATTTCACAGATCATGGATACGAAAGGGTTGGTTTTGTCAAAGAAAGATTCAAGTCTCCTGATTTTTCTATACCTGATTTTTCTATATCTGATGGCGTTCACTTGGGCCACAACATGTTCGACGAATTGCCGCACTCAACAAATAATTGGATTCTTCGATTAGGCTATCATATGCCGATTTCTGACTCTGGAGGTACACTTATTACTGGGCATTTTACTTCCAAATTTCAGGTTAAAGATGCTTACGATTCTAAATTTCTTGTTTGTAATGGTGAATTCTTGCAAAATGGTACTACGGATCTTCGAGATGAAATTGAACTGGTTGTTTCAAATTATTGTGATAAGAAAAGTGACGAATCCAAGATAACGGCAGTGGGTTTTGTGGGTTTCTATCAGTTTATGAAAGCACAGCCATCAATTCTTGAGAATGAATGCCAAAAAGAATTGGTTGGAATGTATGCCCACCATGTGTTTGTTGGAATGCAGCAAAGAGTCAAAATTGTTTCTTTGAAGCTTGGCTTCCATGTGTCCATTCATGACAAAGGCGGAACAACTATTCAAGGGCTCTTCAATTTGAAATCTTCAAGGGAAGTTGAAACCACTTTGGTGCAAACAAATGCTGCTGCTCAACTGGTTGATGCACTACAATTTTTAGGTGGTTTTTACAACGATGCAATTGTTGTTGTTGGTTTTGAATTCTACTACCTTATGGGAATTCTAGACAAGGGTGGAGGGTACTTAATCATATCTGTGTATAAGATGGTACTAAGGTTTGTTAGGACAAAAGTGGCAAATGATTTAATCATACGAGTTGGAAACTGCAACTTTTACTTGTACAAGCTTCCGATGGTCATGAGAAGTGGTTACTTGAATTGACTAGTATTCCAGAGAATTAGTGTAGGAAGAGATGCCAGCCCTAGAATCCAGCTAGACAATCTTCCAGGCGGAGCAAAAGTTTCCGAATCTGTAGTCAAGTTCTGCTATGGTTGGACAGTTGATCTAACCGCTGCCAACATAGCTCTGCTACATTGCGCTGCACATTTCTTGGAAACGAGTGATGATTTCGAACAAGGAAATCTGATTTCCAAAACCGAGACCTTTGTGAGCTTTTTGATATTTTCTTCTTGGAAGGACACCTTCCGGATTTTGAGAGGCTGTGAATCGATCTCTTTGTGCGCTAAAGAGTTGAAAATCTCCAAACAGAGCGCGGAAACCATTGCTTGGAAGGCTTGTACAAACCTTAATGCATTTAGTTTTGAAACTGATGAAATACAGTGCTTCAATGTTCTGCCAAACAATGCAGAGAACTCGAGGTTTCAAGATGCAGCTGAGATTTGGTGGTTTGAAGATGTCTCGTTCCTTCAAATAAATCATTTCGTCGAAGTGATCCAAGCCTTAAATTGTAAAGGGATGATAGCAGACCTGATAGGATCATGTATAGCCCATTGGACTGCAAAATGGCTCTCGCGAGTCACCTCAGGCCTTGAAAGAATGTCCCCGAAGCATATGACACATGAGTTCCTAAGAGTTACAATCGAGTGCTTGGTTAAGGATGTAGTAGATGAGGCTATTTGTTTGATACTGCTCTCCATATGTGAAAATTGGATTATGGGAAATAAGGGTCGCATTAATGATTGTAAGGAAACAGGCTATTTGAAAATTCATGGGGATAAGGTGGGGAAGTTGACTCAACATGTGGGGAAGCAAAACAATAGAGATTTCTCTATGGTCAATACCATAGAGAAGCAAAGCAATTAGTGAAATGTTGATTGTTTGTATTGTTCTGTTATTCCATCCCTGTGCAATTGTGGAAGACGTAGAGTAGGGTTCTAACACTTTGCTGTGTCTGCATAGATAAATTATCGCTCTTGGATTCGATGAAAAAATCATCCGGACGTGGGAATATTGTTTTGATTATTGCGCGGCCGGTTTTAAGACGTATACTCTTGGAAATTACAAGGTCCATTTCTACACTCCCAAACGAATTTGAGATATTTGAAGCTGCATATTTACATTGATGGATATAAATTATTTGTAGGTACAAGTAAAGCGTAAAGAGTTGCATAATATGTCTCTGATGATGCAGATCGTCTTTTAGCGCCAGGCAATGTTCCGTACAAAGGTTTCCATTCTGCATATTGATTTTCTATCATGCACAAGCTTCACATTCGTCAGGAGAACCAGGGGCAAAGTGTTGCTGATTTTCATTTTCTTTACGTATTCCTTCGTTTTCTTTACTTATTCCTTCATCAGGAGAATTATGGAAACTGCTGTGTTAACACATTTTCTGTAGTTTGGATTGGGTTTCTTTTTCCTTATTAAAACGCTTTGGCATAAATACATCGTTGTGCTAAAAAGGCCAACTAACACTATGTTTGGATACGGAAAATAAACATGAAATTTTAATAAAAGTTAGAATTTATAAATTGACAGGCACCAATTCTCTTGTTTGGATTCTTAAACATAGAAATTTAGAATTTCAATGTGGAAAAAAACTTGGAATTTACAATTTAGTACCTCCAAATCCCAAGTTCATATTCCATGTAAATATGTGTTATTTCTCAATTTCTATGATTGAGAGTTTAAAAATAACAAATTCCGCATTCAATTGCATTGTTATTTTAAGTTAACCCAACAAGAAAATTTACAAATTCTAGAAAGTAAAATCTCGTCATTTCAATTTCCGTCATTTTTAAATTCCTTAGTAATCTTAAATTTCTTCACCTAAACATAGTGTAATGGTTGACTGATTGATAAATACAACCACGCATTCACGCCCAAAGTGTTTTGGTTGGTTTCCTGAAGAGCTATCAGAACTAATCAATCTACGTAAAACAAGCCATATATATATATATATATATATATACCTCTCCGGTGGACGGAGAAAACTTTTGTTAACATCAAGAGATTCAACTTTTAGGTGAACAGGGGGTCAGATTGACTCGTTTAAATCCAAATCGATCATGTTCCATGCGTACCCTGTCAACACAACCTGGGCATGTATTGGTTTTTCCTTTGACGAATATGCATGCTTAAGCTGCTATGGAAGAAGATAAACATGGGAAGATAAGTTCGATGTAGAAAGAAGCTCAGTGTCTTCGAACCTTCTATTTGTGTTTCATGCACTTCAGTCCAAACAACAAAACACTCCCAACACAAAAATAAGACAAGCTCAGAACACATGGAAGAAGGCACGAAACAGGAAACAGGGTACTCTAAAACAGGGTAGGAGAAAAACAAAACAGTCTGTACCGTTACAATAGTCATAACTCTTAATGAAAAAAATGTATAATAAAATCTTACCCTACGTTCTCAGGCTGGAACAATAAATGAATGAAAATGCAATGGGTTTTCTACTTCCTTCTAAAGTTCTATATAACTAATTTTAACAGAAACACCACCTTTCTGCTTCTCTAATTTATCCTACGATCAAAACACAGCGGTCCACAATCAAATTTTAAAGTGATACTGGGAAAGCTGCTCAAGTCAACATACCGTCGGCTGTTCACCTCACAATCTGTCATGCAACCACAAACCCGGGTGTGAAGTTCACGATAGCAATGAAGTGAGCTCGAGGACTCTGCAGAGTTTGACAGTGTTGGCATGGCCTGACTGGAGAATGACCTGATTAATTTCAAGAGAACAAACTTCCCAAAGTTTCATTCCATGTTGAACATACCCCCAATGAACATGCCCCACCATGAAGCTCATGTTCAGCCATGATGGACACTTCACTTTACAACTCGTGCACCTCCTCCTGTACAACACAAGGCCAAATACAGGGGGAAAATGATTATGCCATCGTCAAAGTGTCAACTACCACTACGATTATCGCTACCCATTACCGAAGTGACCAGCCCATGGCTCCATTGCTATCAGAGAACTACCCGCACTACATCTTTGTAACTCCTACTTGTCATATCAAATTCAAGCATAGCACCTAGTGGCTAAACTTACTAAAGCATCTAACCTTCATCAAAAAATAAACAGAAAATAAAGCAATGATAAGATGTCAAACAACAGAATACTCAAATGCAATAAAACCAACATAGATAAGGTTATATAGCTACTTTAGCTTTGACACTACGACCAAAATGGTAAATGCAATTCGCAGCAAGTAGACAATTATAAGCACGCCAATTTAACACCACTCAGAAGCAAAACTTAAATAGAAGCATCTAGTGCGCACTAAAATACTACTTATTATAGGCTACCAAAATAGAAACTGCAAACTACTAGAATTTAAGCAATCCAACCAGTCCCAAAGCATTGTCATCCAACTTGAGCTGTTCCTGCTACTGCCGCTGGTCATGAGAAACCATTACTACCTCATGCATAAAGAGATACAGATCCATAAAACAGGATGCAATTTCAATTGAGACAGTCGACCATCAAAATTACTGCTGCTGGGATTGCCGTGCCTGAGCACTGCCATATCCACCACCATAACCAACTTGTCCACCATTTGCCGGAGCACCATAATTTCCAGAAGCTTGTGATGGATCAGATCTCCAACCAGTATTTCCATAACCTGCATTTCCATTTGAATCGCCATAGCCACTTCCACCATAGCCACCAGCACTACCTTGCTCCCCACCTGGAGCACCAACATTGTTATTTGGGACACTCCCCGAACGTCCTCCAACAGCACCATATCCAGATGGATTTGCATAGGATGCATCTGTTGCACTGTACCCACCATAACCATACCCTTGAGTTCCATACCCAGCCGCTGCACTAGGTGATTGACCAGCAGGTGCAGAACCAGGGCCACCACTTCCTGTACCTGCACTGCCACTTGAAACACCCCAAGGAGCAGTATTCCCATAACCCATAGCACCATATCCAGAGGGACCTTGAGAGCTCCATGCACTTCTAGGAGCACCTGGAGGACCACCAGCATAAGCAGCATTTGCAGCATTAGGGTTTCCGTATGCAGCAGCTGCTGGACCTCCATAACCAGTATTAGCACCTCCATAACTTCCATAACTGCCATAGCCAATTCCATTACTGGTAGGACCATACCCGTAACCAGGTGTGCTATACCCAGAAGAACCATAAGGTGGAAACCCACCTCCAGTACTCTGCGATTGCATGTACCTGTTGGAGTCCATTCGACCATCATATGAATTTGGGTTACCAGCAGATGCCCCATAGCCTTGATAACCACCTCCAGCAGCACCTCCGCCACCTTGACCACCACCCATGCTACGGCTACCCCCACCAGGGTTGGCATCTTTAGGAAGAGCCCGCTTAACTTCCACTTGCTTCCCATTTAAATCATGAAATGTCTTGTGCAAAACCCTATCAACAGCTTCTTCAGTGTCAAATGAAATGAACCCAAACCCACGAGGACGTCCAGTACTTTGGTCATACATTACTACTACATCAGTTACATGGCCATAAGCTTCAAAATATTCACGGAATCCTTCCTCACTAAGAGTGGGGGGCAACCCTCCAACAAATATCTTCTTGGTCCTAACATTTCCCCCACTTCCAGCACTTCTAGTAGGATAAGCATTTCCAACTCTCCCAGTGGTTTGCTGCTCCTCTCTTGATAGGGCTCTCTTAGCCTCAACCTGAAAATTAAAACCGTTAAGCAGCAGAAGCAAAAATACCTTGGTGTCAAGTGTGTGGATCTAACATCACAAGAAAGAGCCAAAGAAACTGTTTACAAATAATCATCAAAGCTTCAATGGTGTCCATATATCACACTGACAAGAAAAGAATACGTCCCTAAGGACCATTCTTTAAATTAGTTACCGACCAGACCATGTGCAGCCAGTACATAATGGTTAAAAGGTGACTAATAGTGGCATGCCTCATACAAGAACCACTATTTTTACATATAACTTACCAATACTGCAGTTGAACAACTAGGTTAGCATTTCCTCTTTTGAGGCGAGAAAGAAATATCATCTTTGGAAGCCTAACACATTGAAGTATGAAACAATTTCTATTTCTACGCAATTTTCTTTATATGATTGATATGTTATGTCCATACTAAAAACCTTATGAGTCCAGAATGATCTAGGAGTTGGTCTACAATATATAATCTGAGTCAATTATATAAGTCATTAACAGTCATTAAAATTATGTTGTTGATAGGCATGGCAAGTCGCCAACTAAATCTTTCCATCCATATTTTCATATCTCTTCTCATTCTTTTTCCATCTATATTGTCCTCTTTTCTCCTCATTTTTCTTTTACAACTTTCAATTTCTATGGAATCACAGCAACCCAAAACCATCTTCTTTACTCTATAGTTCTTCTGATTACTTAAAATCCTACCATCTACAACCAACTATAACCATAGAAAGCACCCACCAGTTATACATGAATGCTATCTCAGGGATTCACCCTCAGCAACTGAAAAGTGGTACAAGAAGACCATACAATCTATAAAAAGTTTCCAATAGTACTAGCAAGCTAAAATGTTAGCAACATTATCATTGTGGTTGTAAAACACTCGACATGTAAACGAGTCATAAATCCTAAACCCTAAAGCAATTCACATACATAACAAAGAATGATTTCATAGCATGAAAATAAATACACATCCAGACATTCGTTCACAAGAACAACTCTATTACTCACTACTGCAAACCAATAAAGGTACAATGGAACAACCTCTACACCATCAGCTTAGAAAATTACATTAGCAAGCTTCATTACAATCAGACTCTTGCTCCTTGGTATAAATACAGCGAACACAAATTAATCAAAGACGTCGAATTTTTAAAGTTCCAAACATACTAGCAACCAGCAAACCAGAAACACTGCAAAATGTCTAACAAGATAAAGCTCAACACAAGAACTCCACGGATACGTACACTACAATACTAGCAGAATTATAAAGCCTAGAAAATAAATCTCAAAAAATAAAATAAAATAAACAATGACCAGCTTAAGCACACACACAGACACAGATGCCCAATTAGTTCAACACCAAATTAAACAAAAACCCACTAAAAAAAGGAAAAATGTTGGGAATCTGAATCTCACCGTTCTACCATCGATGGTGTGCTGATCCTGAAGAACCCTATCGAGAACAGCAGGATCTACAAAAACCACAAACCCAAAACCCCTGGGGCGGCCGGAGGTCTTATCCCTCATGACCACCGTCTGCAAAACATCGCCGTAGTTGCTGAAGTACTCTTTAAGCTTATCCTCGGAGGTCTCCCATGAAATCCCACCAATAAAAAGCTTCCCCTGATCGGAATCCATGTGGGTTTTCACTGCCTCTCCTTCTCACTGCGTGTGAGAGTGAAAGCCTCGATCTTTATTAAATTTTGGAAGTGGGTTTTTGGATTTTGGGGGTTTGGGATTTGGGAGAAGAAGGAAGGAAGGGTTTGTGGCCGACTAGAGATAAAAGAGCGATAGATTGGGGAGGGGCGAGCGTGTATGTATGCTTCGCGATTGGGAGCAAGTTTGGGACTTGGGGAATGGAAGGAAGCGTTTGGACGGATGAGATTTGCTGGATTGGTTGGTCGGGAATCATTTTGATGTTTTGTACGGCTTGGATTTGATGTAAGTAGAAATCCGCCAGAGGGTTGGTTCTCTGTCAGGTGAGGTGCACAGAGATGACATATGGTCCCTTCTTTACTTTGTTGGAGCTAAAAATGTCCCCAAAAGACAATACTTACTCCCTCATTCCTAGAAAAGTGGTAAAAGCAGGAAAGTCAGTCATACAATGTGAGTGTGGCATCATTTCAATGTAAAAACGTTATAATCATTTGACTTTGAAGATGGACCAATTTTATATGAATAAAGAATTTGTGTTTCATTATGAAGATATTACTTGTTATTATAACGTTGATTTGTTCAACATAAATGAATGACTAAGTGGTCTCTAAATCGAGTGATTTTTCTAAAGATAGTCTTTAAGTGATGATAAAGCGACTTAAACAATTTTAGTTGTCGCTTTTATACCTATAAAATGATGTTTTGTTAGAGAAGAAGTATCCTCCTCAAAATATAGTTTATGCACCAAAATTAGTTTAGTCTTTTCCTATTTTGAGCTATGACATGACTAATAAATTAAAATGAATTTTATGTTTTGTTTTGTGAACTTGTAAAGTTAAACAAGGAGACGATGGTCGTCAATTTGTGATCGATTGGTCAATTCAGGCAAAGATTTAGTTTTCAAGAGGTGTGAAGGGCACGGCAACAAGTCGGTTCTGGCATAAAATCTAGAAAAGGCTCATAAATGATGTTATACAATGAATTTAATTCCTTAATTTTTCAAGACTCTGATTTTGCCCATGTGAAAAAAAATTAAAAAATCATATTCATGGTTACATACATCCTTTAGTAGGCATATCATAGCAACGGTACCCCGTTTGATCAAGAACATATTCTATAAATACAAACTTCGCGGCACAAAGGTCTAATTTAGGGTTGGTTTGGTATTGTTGTGCTTTGAAAAAAGTTGCTTCTGCTGTGATGTGAGAATAAGCAGCTATGAAATAAAGCAGCAGAGTGTTTGGTAAACTTTTTTGTAAAAGTGCTTTTGGAAAAAAATGCAGGATGATAGTGTTTGATAAACTTTAATGTAAAATAGCTGTGACTGTATGAAATGACCAAAAAAGGTATAATACTATATTATTATTATGATATTTTATTTAATATTATTATTTTATGTGAGGATTTTGTGTGACCGTGGGGCCCACACCCCATTTCCCTTATCCCTGTGTCTTCTTTTCCCTCTACACTCTCGAACTCTCTCAAAAACTCTCAGCTCTATCTCTCTCTGCACTCTCAGCTCTATCTCTCTCTGCACTCTCTCCTCCACTGAGACAACCCCACACACAAACCTTTGATCTCAGACCATCTCACCTCAACTCTCTCTCTCTCTCTGCACTTTCTCTTCCTCCTGAAATCCTCATAATCAACCGCCTGAGCTTGAGTTGAGTGAATGTATCGGTGAAATGGAGAAATGGGTTTTGGGAAATTAGGGTTCTTGATGGGTTTTGAAACAACCGGTCTTGGGTTTTATGGAAGTAAAAGGGTATTTTTGTTTTTTCACTAAGTTAAGGGGATATTTTCCTTTGTTTTTTGGGTCTTAATAGGTGTGCATGGAGGGCCCACATTGCTTTTGTGTCCCCGGTCTCTCTCCTCTCGGTTCTCCCCCGAGTCAACCTCTTCTTTTTCTCTCATTCTTTTTCTTCTCTCCCTTATCTTTCTCTCGGCTTTCTCTGCAACTCTCTTTTTCTCCTTGAGGACCAACCCACACACACCCGTGCCCACACCTCATCAACGACAATAGTATCACCATCATCACCGCATTAGCTCTCTCTCTCTTCGTCTCTGTGAAGCACAGACAAACTCCGATGAGTTCCTCGTCCTTTCGTTTTGGGTAAGCCTCAAAACACTCCAAATGCTTCTCTTTTCATCCATGTAGTTCTATTTTGACCTCGTGGTTGTGTTTTGGACGTCAAAGCATGAAGAAACACGTCGGGGAGACTTCCTCGAATTTCCAGCAAGAAACCGACGGTTTCCAAGCTAATTTTCGGCCAAACCACATCGAGTTGGCTGGCGTGCTAGGTATCAATCTCTTTGTCTCACTAAGCACTACAACTTACCTTTTTGTTTCACCTAAATTCGTTGAGTATTGAATAAGTTATATCCATTTGAATCTTACCCAGAGTATTGAATAAGTTATATCCATTTGAATCTTACCCAGTTTCCAGCGACTTCTGAGGCATTTTCTGGCCAAATCACGGCAAGTTCGACGTCATGTGAGGTTCCATTCTCTTCGTCTCTTCGAGAGCTACGATTTTTATTTTTGAATCACTTGATTTTTTTTGGTATTGACAAAGTTATGGACGTTCAAAGTTTGTCTAAATTTTGGCCGAATTCCGGCCTTCTTCTTCCTTGGGTCTGACGACCCATCAAACATAGGCCTTTTGGGCCTTTCCTGCCGAGCCCAACCCAAACCTATGTCTCCCTTTTTGTTTTGTTTTAATTTTAATTGTTTTGGATTAAAGGCCTTTGGGCCGTGTCTAAGACTCGGGCTTAGGCCTGTCATCTTTTTCAAACTAAGCCTTTAAAGGCTTAAGGCCCTCGAGGCATGTCATTTTACCTTAGGCCTTTGGCCTTTGAGGCCGGACCCTAAAACCAAATCCTTTAAGCCCATTTCCTTAAAACCCTAAACCCTTTGTGACCCAAGCCCAATCCCTTTTAAAACCCAAACCCAAGTCTAAACCTTTTAACCCAATCCGGATCCAAGCCCAGACCCGTTTGACCAGTTGACCCAAACCCGGTCTGACCGTTGACCCAGTTAACGGTCAACGTTGACCTTGACTTTGAGCGGTCAACGTTCAACGTTGACTTTGATCGTTGACTTTTTGGGGGTTTTTGTTCGAGACCTCTCCTAGGCTAATTTCGACGTCCTGAACCTCTTTTTGAAGTCCCTTTTCCCACATTCAATCATTTGAGTACAGTTTGACTAAATGTACCCTTTATGTGCTTAGGGGCAATTAATTGTGGTGTTTCTGCCTTCGCTAGTTGCGTGGCTCTTCGGCAGCTAAGTACTATGAGTGGACCCCTTCTAAAAATGCATGTTTTGATAATAGAAATGCATACATGAAAAGCATGATTTGATGACTATGTTTTATGAAATATTTTATGCGATAACAGGCTTACTGAGGCTAGTTTGAATTATTACTATTTTTCCTATAACCCGTGTTCTTATAGAATATCTAACGGATGACGATATGATATTTAGAACATGTTTAGAACACCTCTTTTATAGTATAGATGATGGATGACTTTATACTATGAAGTTGCGTTTCAATATATGTATGTCCACTGGTTTTGTACTTACCTAGTGGTCCTTTCCGCTACGGGACGTAGGGATAGATCCGGTCCATCTCGGGCGATGGTTTGGTGTTGGCATAGGTCCTAAAGTGTGTTCCTCTGGCTATTTAGCACAGGAACGGGGAGCCGGCATGGGGCCTGAAGTGTATTTTCCTCTGACTATCTGCTCAGAGATGGGGAGCCGGGATAAGGCATCGGACATTCACTAGTGATTATTATATATACAAGTTATGATTTGAGACATTGCACAGCATGCTAGGTTTCGAAAAACCTATGTTTATCATGATATATAAGTGTTTTCATAAAACCTGGGGGTTAATACATTGATAACTATTTTATTATATATATATATATCAACTTGGTCCACTCATGTTTGTTTTGCGCCCCTTTCAGGACTTAGAATCGAGGCATACAATCCCGACGTCAAGGCACTTCCGCATTGGCATCTTCGAGTCCTCTCGGCGTATGACCCATTCTTTTATTCATTCAATTTTATATTATTTCCTTTAGTGTTTTAGGATTAGTTGTATGTTCTGAACACGTTCCTTAAATGCATATTCATTATTCTCTTATATTTATAAGTCTTATCTATCCCTTGTTTTCAGCATTTGTACTCAATAAATGGCTTTCATCACCCTCGGGTGTCGGCCAGCATATGTCTATCCTGGTATTCGGGAAATATCAAGATTGAGGCGTGTCAGGTTTGGAGCCATCATAGCTCGGTGGACGAAACGACGTCAGAGACTAGGTCTATTTTCCTCTGATTTCCGTTCAGGACGTTCTCTGTCAGCTCCCACTCGATCTGGTCCCGGTAAACGGCATCGTCAAAGACCTGGTCGGCATGCTTCGCCTAGTCCTCGAAGTCGCGAGCGCAGAGATTTTTGGAGACCCACTTGAGGTAGGCTGAAGGAAGGGTGCCCAGCATCTTGCCCTTGTATTTTCCAAAGTCGATGACCCTGTCTCTGGCAATCGATGGTGTTGAGGTGGATAGAGAAGGTGGTTTGGGGGGTTTTGTGGGTTTGAAGGAGCAAGAGAGGCGGAGGGGGTGCAGAGAGGTGTGGGAGAGTGGTGGGTTTGATGGAGGAGTGTGGAGGCAGAAGAGAGAGCTCAGGGTAGGATTGCCAAAAACTTTCATTAAAGAGTCATTGTTCACCCATGTTTTAGAGGTTTGCGTAGAAGCTAAAAAGCCAGCTTTTCAAAGCTGCATTTTGCTGCTTCTGTTTTTTGGCTTTTTTTCACCCAAAACTGTGAAAAAAAGCTGAAGCTGGAAGTTTACCAAACTCAAAAATGACCACCAGCTATTTTTGATACCAGTTTTTTTTTTAAATCACCTCAACCCCAAACCATACCTTACTCCGTTGGTGCTTGTAAACGTGTGCCAAGTAACACCCTCAAACACTCGAGGTTGAAAATTAAGATGTGGTGCAACTTTTAAGTGCTGATGGAGAGTCTAATAGGAGCTAAGTGCAAAAGACACGGCTTAGTCCAACAACATCGATATCACACTTTTTAAAAATAAAAAATAAAAAATTTATTATTAAAGGGAGGGGACAAGATTCGAAACTATTACAATAATTTAAAAGAAATAAATGTTCAATCTAGGACACATCCATTAGAATATTGGACCACATATAAAACCATCATCGATGCCACACTTAAATCGGCTTAATTTAAGATATCTACATGATGTCAGTATCTTGTGACATAATTAAATTTCACATTTTTGCTTTTCTAGTTTGTCTCCACCAGCCTTGAAAGCTTGAACGATTGGTTTGTCACTATTCACACCACCCACTATAGCGGTGAAGGAATAATTTTCATGGGTCACATGATTTCGTTGATAAAAATCAATAGTCTCAATACTAGTATGTAGTGGTATAGACGAGCAACCTGAGGAGAGAAAAAAACATTTTCAAATGTCAAGTAGATTTACATCTTTCGATTGTGTCGAGCAAAGCGCAAAAAGCCAACGAATAACTTGTCCAAACTACCAAAGAAACGTGACTCCTTCCATAAACTCCCATGAAACAAAAAGGCACACAATTAAATAAGGTTTGTGTTGTTGTCTCTGCTTCCTTCCCTTATTAAACTCGTGCACCCACCACATCCCTTTTCATCATAATTCCACTCCCTTCCAACGTTACCATTTTCAAAAACCCTTTGGAGCCAAACGGATTTAAAAACTTCCTGTTCACCGTCACCTCCTAACCCCCTTTTCCTTCTATCTGTCTGCCTATATCAAACTTCATTCCTCCTGCTGCTACCTAGGGACTTCTAATGGGGTGTTTTCTTGCCTGTTTCTGTTTTTCTAAGAAGAGAAAGCGGCAATACCCCGCTACTAAAGCCGCCTCCAGTGACCATGTACATTTCTTTATCTTCAGGCTCAAACCATGCTTTCAAGTTTCAGTATTTTGTTTTTGTGTGTGTTTGTATTGGTGTCACAATATTTAACCCAAATTCAGGATGTTTGATTTTTGGTTTTATGATGATGCTGTAGAGAAGTGTGAGTTATGTACCATTGGACTCATCTGTGAGAATTATTGGTGTTGATGGTGGAAGAGAGAGTCTCATATCTGAACTATACAGGTCAGTTCTTGCTTTTAGTCTCCTACTTTGTACTGAGATTTGATCTGTGGAATGGTTATTTACCGGCATTTGCTTTCATTGAATATTTGTTGTTTTAGAGATAAGGCCAAGGAGCAGAAGAGGTTGAAAACCCGGAAGAAAGTTAGCTTCAATCTGAATGTCCAGACGTATGAGCCTATTTCAACCGCTTACCATTTCTTGGACAGTTGTGAGGAGGAAGAAATCGGAGAAAAGAATGTCGAAGAAACGTCAAAGGGAAGACTTTCCACTTCAGCGTCTGAAGGGAATTCAACAACACTGAGAGTAGGACTATTTCCTTCAAACTACAGGTACCAAAATGTTTGGGACAGCTATGGAGAAGAGGAAAGTGAGTTGCATGACAATGATATCGACGTTGATGATGAGGATGAGTACTATGATGACGATGAAGACAGTGAGATTGATGAACAACAAATAAGCCGAGAAGGGTTTTCGGAGGAACTATGCTCCGCATCGCGAAATGGAGAATCGGAATATCCAGATGCTAGAGATAATATCCGGTATGTAAATTCTGTACTGAGTCCAGTAGAGAATCTCACACAGTGGAAAGCAGCCAAAGCAAAAGCAGCAGCAGCACCAAAGCACCAAAAGGAGAATACTGCATTATTTCAACAACCCCGGATGCCTTACAGCACCAGATCAAATTTTAACCAGTCCACCAAACCGCTCCTGCAAGAAATCCCAGTTCATGCCAGTCTTTCGAGTTGGTTAAATTCGCGAAGTACTAATTAGTCCGTGGAGACCGAATGGAATCTAGATCATCAAACAGTTGCTACAACTGGGACCATCTCATCCAGCAAATTAGTACACTGGACAGATTACATTTCAGTCATGGCCAAAAAGATAATTTTGATACAAAAGGTGTGAATTTTTGGGGGATTTGTTGGATATGTGTGTGTATTTATTTCTGAGTGTCTTGACTCTGGTAAAAGAGGATGTCTGATAGATTGTGCTTGTATTGGGGGGCCTTGGTTGTTTGTGTAAGAAATTTACTGTAATTCTGGTATAAAAATTGATATCATTCCATATTAAATAACAACGGCTTTGCCTCAAAAGATCCGTTGGCCATTTTGGTCTTGGATGTCTTTGATTCAAGGGCAGAGCAACGAATTTTCAAACCTAATAATTAACTTCTACTCGGAGTATCTTAGTAAAGTATGTGCGAGTTCAATGCTACAATACTAAACAAAACATAAAATAAGCAAAAAATTCACTCTGCCCCCGATCTCGGAGGCTTCTCTTACATTTTTCTTGTTTATGTCAGAAGCTGAGTGGGCCAAGTTGGTGGGATGAGTTTTAAAATTCACTCTGCCAGTCTGCCTAATAATGCAAAGGCATAGCATAAGATATGCCCAAATAATGGGGCATATGGAGGTATAGAATCCGAATAAAGATTTGATGCCACAGCAGAATCGACTCTTGAAAGAACAAGAATAATGTCCGACTACATATACAAGGGCAGTTGAAATTAAATTCCACCACCGCAGCTGTTTTCACCATTTTATCGGGGTTTCCGGGAACGAATGCAGACAATCAAACAGGAAGACTGATATATTTACACGCTAGGATGGATGATATCTTTTCTCCCTTCTGTCAAGTGCTGAAGGAATAGAGAAGAAAAGGAATAAGCAGAATTGAAGCGCGTTTATTGAACAGGATATGGTTATCAAAGTATGCTGTAATTCTAATTACATACAAAGTACAACTTATGCATATGTGTTTGATATATTACATAATGTGGAAGCCAAATTGCCGTTATCTGTATCTGCTTTCATCCCTGGAAGATGGTCCACTAAGTTTGCATCTGGTTATAACGGCAATCACAGAAACTTAACCCAAAAAATGGTACTATACAGTCTATACTTAGATGCAAGACATGGGAGACTGACAGTCTTGCCTTGGTCTCAGGACCTTGGGTCCATCCTTGACACTGTTGAGTTATAACGGAGCCAGTAAAAATCATAAAAATCAGCTCGGAGAAATTTCATACTTGATTTACCCAGCAATCGTATCCAGGTAAATGGTGTACTGAACAATATCTACATAATAATACATATGCAAGAATCTGCATCTTCATCAGAATCGCTAACATCGCTGCAGATGAACATTGAGACAGGGTTAGAGACTAGCAAATCAGCAATAAATATAACAGTGACATAATACTGGTGAAATTAACATCGCAAAAAGTTACTCTATTTGTAATTTTGTTTTCCAATTTTAACAGGATTACAGGCAGATAAGTACGTGATGGGAGACTACTTCAATCTATGGAAATGCAACAAAGTAGATTGAATATCTTGAAACTGTTATGGAATTTAATAAAAGAAGTGCTAAACCAACAATTCTTCGTCCTGAATTGCTTTTCCAATTCCTTGCGTGTGTGCGTGTATGTGTGCGCGCGTGCACACACCGACAAGCATAGACACACTAACATATGACACACATGAGAAGTTACTTCCTGTATACAGTAAACCGCAGAGTGCATTTATGTTTAAGCAGACAATTGTGTGCTCGATTGAGGGATATTTCAGTATAAGGCTTGACTAGCATATGGCAGACATGAAGGACCCCATGTCCATAACAGACCGACATGAAGGTGACCATTCTCTCTGCATTTTCATAAAAAGCAAAAAGTTTACCAGGTAACAATAATCAATTTTATGATCAACTAAGGTCAGAAAAATTAAATCACAACGAAATCAAAATATCTTGGCGCCAATAGTAGGTTAGGCTGTTTAGTAAACACACAAATTCCCTAGGGTACATTCAGTACTAGTCAATCCAACACGTAAGAAAGAGCATTAAATGCCTCCAATATAGTAAATCTAACTTAACAAACCAAGAAACCAAAATGCCACCGATTAACTTTCCTGTTATTACAGACACAAAACTTTGCTCTAGAATCATGGGCCACAAAACGTTGTGTTGTTAAAGTTGACCCATAGCATCAGGATACAGCCCATGCAAACTTGGCATAGGCATCCTATGTTTGGCCCATTCAACTTCTTCTCCAAAGTAATTGCACACACACACACACACACACACACACAAAGGAAAACAATTCATCAAATTCCTTTACTTGTTCTACATTAACTTACGTTCCCACAAGAACAAACAAAGAAATACAATTCACCAAATTCCTTTACTTGTTTTATATTAACTTACATTCCCACAATGACTTGTATATAGCAGAGAGAACATCACAGCAGGTGCCTTACATTCCTAAGGTAAAATTTTCAATGAGATGAAAAGGAGGTCTACTTACCTAAAAAAGAGGTGATTAAATGAATTGACCTAAGGGTGAGCAATAGAGAAAGACAGGCCAAAAGAAAGAGACAGATAGAGGACAAGGCAAAACTTGAAACCAGTTGGCTTAGGTAGAAAAGGAAAAGGCATGATGCGTCCACGAGAAGTCTGATGGGGAGAACTTCGGCACTGAAAGCTATTTTTTACGCCAACATAGTAATCCTGCACTCTTTACTCTTTGTTTTTTTCCCAATTATGGAGGAGTGCAAGATAACTATTGTAGAGTGCCAAATACAGCTCTCCTCCCGGCAGAAAAGGAGACTATCAGAAATTATGACTTGAGTTGACCCAGATGCATATCACCCCACATGATGGAGACCTTCTCAAAACTTACAGACTGAAAGGAAAACACCTCAATATTCAACTAACCAAACCTAAATGAAACATATGATAAAATAAACTCGTCGACCATAATAAAATGGAACCTGAAGCTATCAACTCTTATAGACTTATTAACAATCCACTGCCTCAAAATCAAATAGGTTTCCAAGAGTATGAACTGTAGATCATAACTGCAACAACAATTTGTGACCAATAATCAATCAAGTAATTAGCTAAACTCCAATGGGATTAAGGTCTCCCATTAGAAGCTAAAGTAAGTTGACCCCTGTAATTAGATATGTTGGACAGAGCAGGAAAGTGGACATTTAACTAAAAGATGGATGGAGGTGGTGAATTATAGAGTTAACTGCGGCCGAAATAACACCCTAAATCAAAGTCAATACAAAGAGCATAACAGCACCAAGAAATTAAAAGACAAAGATATTGGCCAACAGTTGATAAAAATTCGAACAGCCACATCACAATAGGAACAGCAACAACGAAAATAACAACGAAAACTAAACAAAGCAATAAAAAAATCTCACACTTTGATCAAAACAATGCACATGTAAAGAGATAGAATTCAGCAAATGCATTACCTCGGTTCGAATTCCAGGACCTCGACAAGGTTATTCCCATTCCTATCATTCCACTGCACTTTTCGCCGAGTTTTATTCGATTTCCTCGACATACCCCCTCTCCGAGGAGGCAACAAAGAATTAGACTCACTATCTTCATCTCCATTAACATTTTCCTCAACTTTCTGAGAGTCTCCGGTATCCAACGTCGCCTCAGTTTTACACCCATTAGTAGTACAAGCATCCTTAGCATCCGTATCCATCAACAAATTCACAGCCCGACCCAACAAAATGGCACCTCCAAACAATCCAAATTCAACAAGAAACCTTCCAATCTCTGAAATTTATTAAAAACCCAATTGACCCAAATCCCTGATTTGGACAAATTCGCAAACCCTAACCCTTGAAGTTCAAATCTTGCGGGTCGTGGCGGATGTGAATCGCCATTTCCGCGGAAAGTCAACGCCCATCCTCGACGCAGGGCTTCGAACAGAAATGGGATGAAATGGAAAAAACGACGAAACCGAAAGAGAGTAAAAAGGATAACCTGACAATTATTAATCTGGGAAAATACAATCACTGGGAAAATCTTGACATTTCCCGAGGAACTGACGGAAAACGTACAGTTTCTTTTTCTTATTAGATCCTATTGCAGGAGGATAAGTATTGTCTGCCCTTCCATTTCCGGTGTCCTACTGTGCATTCCTGTTTGTATGGTAATGGTTAAACCACATCAATATTTTATATTACTATTCATTTTTATCTTAAGGGTGTGCTATTCACACACCTCTTTTTACTTCTCACACACTCTTTGTTAATTTATATCTGTTGATTTTCTTCAATTCATCTGATTTGACGGTTGAAAACTAAAAAGATGTGGGAGAAGCAAAAAATGATGTATAGATATCACACCCCTTGTCTTATTATCTCTATAAAAAAATATATATAAAATGCTGACGTGACTTAACCATGATCACACAAAACATGAGGGCACAAGAGGGTACTGGAAGTGGGAGGGCAGACAGTACTTGTCCATTGCATAATGGGAAAACGTGATCCAATATTCTGAACCGATTTGGGTGCGAATACGTAAGAATAATTAGGGGTGGGCATTTGGTTTGGTTTTGCGGTTTTGAAACGGTTTTGGTTTTAAAACCGAACCGTAACGTAGGATACGGTTTGATTTCGGTTTTGGCCTTTGAAAACCGCATCGAAACCCAAAATGCATAACTTTAATAAATGTTAAATTCTAATTGGTTATTTAATTTTATTTTTTTTTCTTCTGATAATTGGTTATTTCATTGAGTCTATACATTTAGTGTGGACACAACCTCATCATAATATTTCCACATAATCTCTATCTTTTCTTTCTTCTAGTATGTACTGCTCAACTTTATTCATCTATGCTTCTAACTCTCTCTCTCTCGGTCTCCCCTTTGGGCCCCCCTTCATTCCAGCTCCTAGCCTCTAGAGTTCAGAATGTTATAATATGGTAAGAACTATGATTTATAACTTGTTTTAGTTAAATTTACATATATATTTGAGATTAAGTTTAGGGTTAGGTTAATGGTTGGGTTTTGAATCAAAAGGGTATTTGGTTTTTCATTGGCTAGTCTTCAATTTTTCTTCATTCATGAATATCAGAATGTCATAATGTTGTTGATCGGTAAATAAATTATTCATACGTATAAACCTGATAAATCAAAGTAAAATTGAATATGATTCAAGTTCACGGGTTTTGCAAAAAAAAAAAAAAAAAAAAAAAAAAAAAAAAAAAAAAAAAAAAAAAAAAAAAAAAAAAAAAAAAAAAAAAAAAAAAAAGAAAGGACAAAATGTCATATCTGTTCCTAGATTAGTAGATATAATCCACTTCTTATTAGATTTAAGTATTAAATTTAGCAGATTAAGTATTAATTAGGCTTGTTGCTTACTGGAATGGCCATGCCTTGAAATTTTATTTTCTTCCAATTTTTATATAACATGCGAATAATGGGTAGATACTAGATAGGTTTCCGCCCAATATACACAATTACACACACATACATGAATTGAATCTGCCCCCTTGATTAAGGAGATATTCGCATTACTTAGGGCTGCATGTTGTTTTCAATCCCTGCATCATGATGTGAACTCTCTTGAACTTAAGATTGAATGTGTATTGCATGCTTGATTGTTGACTACAATAAATAATGTTGCATTTGGGCCATCAAATGACTTGGTTTTATTGTCAAAAGTTCAAACACCAAAACTTATTTATTGAATTGGATGAAATGAGATACAACTAGGTAATCATAATAGCTTTTTCAAACAATAAAACTAAACCAAAGCCGTTTAAAACCAAACCGAATCGAACCAAATGGTTTGGTTTCATTTTAGTTTTAGTCTCAAAATCGTACCGAACCAAACCATTTTGGTTTTGGTTTCACTCAAAATCGCACCAAACCGAACTATGCCCATCCCTAAGAATAATGGGAGTTTTCGATTTTGTTTTACTTTTTATTTTTTATTTATTAATGGTTCAGATTAGAGACACATGAATTCTGTACACATTTTATAATGTTTATTTCGAAATGTATATCAACCATCCAACTATTTGTCTTTTAGGTTTTTTCTCCAAGATTCAAAGCCTTATTCGTTTATTTTTTTTTCATTCTAAATGAATGCCTTAATGATTTTAAATTTCTTTATTATTTTTAAATAATTTATGAATGATGAATTAAAATAAAGATGATTTGAATCGTTGAAAACGTTAGTGAAGATAAAATTGATTTAGGATTTTGAATATGTTTCGACTTATTTCTTTCTCAATAGGAACACAATATTTATATATGATATTATATACATATATATATATATATATATATATTATATTCAAGTACAAGGACGTCTGGTACATTAAATTCTAAAATTGGGAACCTATAGATTCACGTCAACATACATTGAATCCCTATGGTACATTGGCTCTCACCAACATACATTAAATCCCTATTCTAAGTACATTAACTCACGCCAACTCTCTCCCTCAAGTTTGTGCGGAAATGTCTCATAAACCCAACTTGTCTAGTGAGTCATGCAACGTTCTAGTTGATGCTAATGTGTCAACACGTCAGCTAATTGTTCTGCAAATTTGACATACGTTATATCAACCAGTATGGTATCCAATTTCTTTCTTGATGAAGTGGCTATCCACTTTAATATGTTTTGTTCAATCACGTTGAACTGGATTGTTAGCAATTTTCGGCACTGCCTGAGTGTCATAGTATAACAAAATACTTCCCTTAGGTCTAAACCCAATCTCTGTAAGTAGTACTGGAGCCATAACAGTTCCCAAATACCGTGTGTCCTTCTCCAGTACTCTGCCTTTGCAATAGACCTAAGCACCACATTCTGCTTCTTACTTTTTCGTGTCACCAGATTACTTGCTGCAAATGTAAAATAACCTGATGTAGAACGCTGGTCAATAATTTACCAACCCAGTCTGCATCTATATAGCCCTTAACCTCCATGTACCCATGCTTTTTGAAGATTGACCATTTCTTGGGTGCTCCTTTTAGGTAGCTTAGAATACGCATTAACTGCCATGTGCTTTTCACTGGACGAATGGATGCACTGGCTAACAACATAGGCAATATATGGCCTAGTAAAAGATAAATAAATCAACCTTTCCGCTATCCTTTGGTGCTTTTCTTTGTTAGTAGGAGATTGGCTATGATAAATTTCCAGGTGATGATTTTGCACAATTGAAATTTCTACAAGTTTACATGCTAACATACCAGTCTCAGATCAAAGATCTAACATATATTTCCTTTAGATAATTAAATACCATCACGGGAACAAGCAACTTCAATACAATATTTAGACCCCCTAAAATCGTACAGATATTTGTAGGAGCATGAATGGGTACTTGTGATGAAAAAATGGGTTGTTCGAATCACCTGTTGTTGTTCCTAGCCTAAAACACTCAGTCGTGTCTAACGCATCACTAGTAGGTGAAAAGGGATTGTTAGAATCACTTGTTGTTCTCAGCTCAAAATACTCAATTGTGCTTAACCATCACTAATAGGAACACCAAGTCCTACACATACTCTCTTTGTTTACTTTCACCCAATGGGTTTGTGTCATCATTAGCAACACTAGGAATTGGGTTGGCGATGATGTCTAGGCTCGCTCCCCCTAATTCCAAACCCAAGTCTGAGGCCTAGTCTATTAGTCTATCACTCGGTCTACTTGGACTAGCATCTACAATTTGAGCTGAGAGATCAATCTAGCCTAAATCTTCATCGTTCATCTCCCCCTTGATGATTGGAAGTGGATTGATCCGAGGCAAGAAACATTTTGGCCCTGGAAAATATGATATCCAATTGCAACATACATGTGCCAAGAAGAATGATGATAGCAACAATACCCTTTTTGTTGTGGACTAAACTCAAGAAATACACATTTAACTGCACATGGGCCTAAGCTAACTGGGTTGGTTTTTTGGGAAATGTGCATACGCTATGCACCTAAATATACTCGGGGACAAACGAAGAGTTGACGACAAAGTAACATGGTTGGCCAAAACTTGCATTGGCGTCTGAAAATCAAGAACTTTGGAGAGCATCCAATTCAAGCGATACACAACATAGGTAATGCATCCACCCAATAAGACCGCGGTGCTTGGGCACCAATAAGCAAAGATCGAGTGGTCTCCAAATATTCTTATTCTTACATTTAGCCACCCCATTTTGTTCTAAGGTTTGTGGACACATAGTCTCACGAATTATGCCATGTTTTGAAAAACTGAGAGAGTTCGGAATTGAGAATTCGTCACTATTATTGGACCATAGGACCTTGGTAGGCAAATAATCTTGGGTGCAAATCATGCGGTGAAACATTTAAAAAATCCTAACATCACTCTTATGCTTCATGGTATATAGCCAAGTCATTTTAGTGCAATCATCCACAAATATAACAAACCAACATATTCCACATTGTGTAGCAACATGGGAGGGACCCTATACATCATAATGTATTAACTCAAATGATATTGTTGTACAATTGAAACTTAACTGGTATGAAGCACGATGACTTTTAGCTAAAGTGCAATCACTACATTATTTCTTTACTAAAACTCAGCGGATGGTAACTGTTCATTAACCGTGTGCGGGCGGTTTTGCCCCTAAGTTGCTGAACAATTTTTAGCCTTTTTCCTGATTGTGTAGTGAATTGGTGCCTTTACCCCTCTATTATCTTTGCTGCCGCGTGTTGTCCAACCTTTGCAACTACTATTTCATTTTGTAGGTTGAATGTTTATCACGTGTCGATGATCTAAAGAGGTTTGCCTTTTCGGCTTACCTCCCTTATTTTCTTCTTTCCCTCGACTTTCATTTTAGTTTGGACTCCTGTGTTTTCTCCGACCTCTATGTTTTCTCACAGTCAAATTTGGTTTTGTGAGATTTGTTCTCTTTCCTTGCATTTTTCTGTTGTTGTTAATTTCTCTCTGGACCTTCGGTTTTTCTTCTTCCTTTGTGCCGTTGTTAAATTGTCATTTGTGCAATGGGTTTTAAGCTTTGGGTTTTTTGCTGTTTTGTTTGCAGTCTTTCATTGTAGGCACGAATGTTTGATTTGGTTATTTTTTGTTAGTCTTTTAGTAGACCATGATTTTTTTTTTCTTTTTTA